ATGCAGTTGTAGTCAGACAGTGGCTAGGGCTAGAGTCATCTTGAGGCTTGCTCATTCGTATATGTGAAGGTACATGGGCCAGATGATAACTGGATTCCAAGACTGAGTGTCCCAAGAAGACCAGGCAGAAACTGTATTACCTTTTATGACCTAGCCTTGGAAGTTACCATAGTGTCCCTCCTGTTTTGCTCTATTAGTTGAAGTCCTGAAAGTCTGCCCAGTTTTAGAGGAAGGGGGCAAAGATTTCACCAGTCTTGTAGGAAGATCATGTGGGATAGGAAATATAGCCCCTGTTTTTAGAAATACAGTCATGCACCACATAACGACATTTTGGTCAACTACAGACTGTGTATATGACAACAGCTCCACAAGATTATAATGGATCTGAAAAATTCGTATCACCTAGTGACATCGTAGCCATCTTCATGTCATCATAGTGCAGTGCATTACTTACCTATTTGTGATGATGCTGGTGTAAACAAACCTTCGGGATGTATTTCAGAAGAAGGCATTATTATCATAGGAGATGACAGCTCCATGTGTGTTATTGCCCCTGAAGACCTTCCAGTGGGACAAGATGTGGAGTTGGAAGACAGTAATGTTGATGATCCTGACCTTGTGTAGACCTAGGCTATGTATGTTTGTATATTAGTTTTTAACAAAAAAAGTTTAAAAAGTAAAAAAGAAAAAAAAAATAGAAAAAGCTTATAGAATCAGGATATATAAAAAAAGAATTTTTGAACAGGTATACAGTGTTTGTGTTTTAAGCTGTGTTATTACAAAAAGAGTCAAAACGTTAAAAAAATTAAAAAATTTATAAAGTAGAAAAAGTTACAGTAAGCTAAGGTTAACTTATTTTTGAAGAAAGAAAATATTTTTTATAAATTTAGTGTAGCCTAAGTGTTCAGTGCTTATAAAGTCTACAGTACTGTACAGTAACATTCTAGGGCATCACTTTCACTCACCTCTCACTCACTCACTCACCCAGAGCAACTTCAGTCCTGCAAGCTCCTCTCATGGTAAGTTCCCTCTACAGGTGTAGCATTTTTTGTCTTTGATAGTATTTTTTTACTGTACCTTTTCCATGTTTAGATACACAAATACTTATTATTGTGTTACAATTGTCTACAATATTCAGTACAGTAACATGCTGTACAGATTTGTAGCCTAGGAGCAAAGGGCTATACCATAGAGCCTAAGTATAGATAGTAAGCTATACCATCTAGGTTTGTGTAAGTATACCCTGATGTTTGCACAATGACAAAATTGCCTAAGGACACATTTCTCAGAATATATCCCTGTTATTAAGCAACACATGACTGTATAATCTGCCACACCTACCTTGAGAACCCCACCCAGCCTAGGATAGGGAACCAAGAAAGAGGACTTTGGAAGATTGAATACAGTTTTGTACGTATTGAGTTTAAGTCCTTGTCAGACTTCCTGGTGGAAATGTTACTGAGAAGTTGGTTACTAAGCTGATATGGAATATTTCTGTGGTGAATAGTATTAATCGGAGCCAAGAAAGGAAACAGTATTTAATTGAGAATATATTCTAGTTTATCCTCCTTATTTTCTTTTCCTTTAACCTATGGCCAGGATTTTGGAAATTATTACCTTCATAAATCTCTTCTGTTATAAACATGTCCACATCAGAGATTCCTTTAAATTGCCTGCATTTTATATTTTAAAGATTTTTTAAAATTTTTCCTTTTTCTCCAAAGCCCCCCGGTACATAGTTCTGTATTTTTAGTTGTGGGTCCTTCTAGTTGTGGCATGTGGGACGCTGCGTCAACATGGCTTAACGAGGGTGCCATGTCCGCGCCCAGGATTCGAACTGGTGAAACCCTGGGCCGCTGAAGCAGAGTGTGCGAACTTAACCACCCAGCCATGGGGCCGGCCCCTACATTTTATATTTTAAACATCGTCTTATTCCTGTCATTTTTCTTTATAAGTTTATTTTAAAAAAATTAAATCTTGATTTCTTAGATGATGATTCTTTCTCTTTCTCCATATTATAATTAAAATTTTAATCTTGTTACACATCCTAGGGAGATAATCTTTTAAAATCCTTGTCTTTCCTGTTCCCTTCCTTTTTTAGTTGTCATATTTGAAAGTAAAAATTTAAATAGCTTAGATTTTTATTAATTGAAATTCATGTGTCCTCAATTTTCTTTCCCTTTATTAACGAATAATATACATTCATCCTAAGAAAAATTAGGACTACAGAGGCTTACAAAGTGTATAAATCACTCAAACACTATTGAGAGATTCTCTATTATATTTTGGTGTATATTTTTTAAGACTTTGAAGTTTTTTTCCCCAATGTGGAGTCTTACCATTTGTACCATTTTTGTAAGTTGCTCTTTTCATTTGACATTTAGATTTTTCCCAGTATTTTACTTTTTTTTTTTTTTTTGAGGAAGGTTAGCCCTGAGCTAACATCTGCCACCAATCCTCCTCTTTTTGCTGCGGAAGACTGGCCCTGAGCTAACATCCATGCCCATCTTCCTCTACTTTATAGGTGGGACGCCTGCCACAGCATGGCTTGACAAGTGGTGTGTAGGTCTGCACCTGGGATCTGAACCAGTGGACCCCGGGCTGCTGAAGCAGAACGTGTGAACTGCTGCACCACCAGGCTGGCCCCAGTATTTTACTATTTTAACTGTCAATCCAACAAGTTAACTTATTTCAGTCTCTTCTGTTTATCCAATTATTTCCTTAAGATAAATCTCTAGAAGGGTAATTATTATGTCAAAGGGCCTATGTTTATATAATAATGATAAAATTCCCCAACTGTTTAAATCCTTGTCACTTTTTTTCTCTCCCACTAGAGAATTTTTCTGTTTTTTGTTTCTCTCTTGCATTTGCTTACTCTCCCTCAATAGCACACACACATACACGAATATTTATTCCTAGGGGAGGAAGAAATCTTCATTGTAAGGTTGATTACTTAAATATGGACTTTATTAATTTCATTCAGTTTATTTCTTCATGAGACATTTGTTGAGCACTATGCGCTATGCCCTGGGTTACAGAGAATGAAGACAGCCCTTGTTCTCAGTGAACTCACTGTCCAGTGAGGGAGATTGACATTCTAGGCATATCAGAAGGTAGGGATGAGGTGCGGAGTTAAAAGTAGATTGACGAAGGAAAATGTGGTGTGAAGTCGTAAATGTAAGGTTGAGACCGGTTACCATCTTGTGTAATTTTCATCTAGCCATATTTAAGCTGCTCGTGGGCGTGGATGGTATAGGCAGTTGGACTTAACCAAGCTTGAGACTTTGCCAGCTGAGGCTGGAAGGTCAAAGAGATATAATTCCAGAAGAAAAACCTGTGATGTCTGGGACAGTTACATAATATTATTGGACTTGCCTCACACACTAAAATACACATATACAGGATTTAACTTTGAATATCTATAGAGTTAATTTTATTCGTTTAAAAAATTTTTCAATTAAGTAGGTATTAGAGGGGAGGACCTTACTTTTGGTTCATCCTCATTTTGACCTTGGTACTTGTACCCCATACAGCTATTTCATACTTCTCATATGATTTTTGTCCTTTATTTGTTAGATGTAAGTCTATTTCTTAGCATCAACATCTCCTCTCATTTAGAGTATATAGCCTGTATGTATTTTTTCAAGTTCTCAAGACAGGGAAATCCTTCACCAGTGATTTTCATTCTTTATTTTTTATTGGTCTCTGGAAACTGGAATTTTAGGCCTTATTCTTACTTTCTTATTTTTTAGTAAGCACGTCATTTTCACATCAGATAATGGAATTATACTTGTAATAATGTCAGGAAATTTCTTTTAGTACCTCAGTTTATCCTTAAAATTAAGTAGTGTTCATTAGATCATCTCTAAGATACTTTCTTGTTGTGAAAATACTGTGATTATGTTGGATATTATATACAGATAATATGAGATTCTTAATTTTGTTCTGATTAGTTTCAACTACTAATCTTGTTCAAGGCTAAATTAGGATCTTAAAGAATTTCAGATTGTCTCTGAGCCGTTACAGAGATATTTAAATGGACTACTGTAGCTTGAAGGATATTGTCAGATATTCAGAAGAAGGAAATAACTTTTGAGGAAGCTTTGTCTTGCATACCCCTGATGGTAAAGGTTAATATTGGGTTAGTAGATCGGTTGCTTCTAAGCAGTGGAGGAGGACTGGAATTGTAAGAGACTCTGTTTGGAGGAAAAACAGTTGTGTGACAATAAAAATCTTTGCAGGAAGCTTTTGTATTTCAATTTAAAAATGCTGCATGTGGGGGCTGGCCAGGTGGCGTAGTTTAAGTTTGCGTGCTCTGCTTTAGTGTCCTGGGGTTCGCAGATCTGGATCCTGGGCATGGACCTACACACTGCTCATCAAGCTGTGCTGTGGCAGCGTCCCACATACAAAATAGAGGAAGATTGGCACAGATGTTAGCTCACTGACAATCTTTGTGGGTGTGAGGAATACTAGCTCGGAGTGTTGAACATCTACTGCCAATCTTCCTCTTTTTACTTGAGGAAGATTGTCAGTAGATGTTCAACACTCCGAGCTAGTATTCCTCACACCCACAAAAATGCTGTATGTATAGAAAAAAAATCACACTTGACAGGACATTCTTGTGGAGTGGCAGTTTTGTTAGCTTTGGATTCTTGGAGGGCCTATTGTAGTATAAAATAAGTGGCATTTTTATGAATTGACATACTTAAAGACATTGGGTAGAAAGTGCCTGCCTTTGATGTTTCGCTTTGTATATACATTGAAAATAAGAAGTGTGGAAAAATTCTTAACTGTTCTTTGAAACGTTTAACTTTTGGCCTTCTTGTACAATAAAATGTGGCTGCTGCTGCATTCCATGCTGGCTAGGTCTTTAAATCTGAAGATGTAATTTATTATTTAAGCCCCATAGCTTTTCTTTGTCTGGCTATGATAGATTTATATGAAGAAAATTAGGGCTTATTGCTTTTGTAAATGTAATGAGCAATGTGTTTTTTCTTTAGGATCAAACAGAGCATACTGAGTCAGCAGGACTGGCTGGTGGTGCAGCAAGCATCATGAGTAAGCACAGAGAAGTCTGTTCCTTAGCACGTGTGTAAGAGGAAAAGGTAGGAAAACCAGTGTTCTTATTTCTCTTAGAGATTGAATTTAAGAAAACAACTAGTGCTATAGAAAGTAATGCTCGTGTATATATGCTGCTTGCTTCATTTATAACGTTGCCTCTTGATAAATCATGAGTGTAGTTTTTAAAAAGATTTGACTTAAATCTAGAGCAAAAGAGTATTTTTAAATTACTGTTAAATTATGTCAAAATGCTAATTTCTCTACCAGTGCTTGGCTCTTCTCTTTTAGAGTCAGTTTCTACCTTGAGCATAGAGAGCTAATTTCAGCATGAAAGAGAACATGAATTTGAGCAATATTGCTAAGAGAAAATAGTGATATCGCTACTCAGTTAATGTCATTTATATTTCTTAGTCATAATATAAGAGCTAAACAAAACTAATTTGGGGCAGGGAATCAGAAATAGAAATTTAATTACATTATTTTATTTTGTATTTTTAGACCAGTTGTGAAGAGCAATATTTTCCGGCAGAAAATTGGAAGTATTTTGTTAGTTTTTGTAGAGCAAGAATCATTGACTTTTTCCTGACTAAGAGTCATGTCTGATTTCTTGCAGGTCTTATGATTATTTAAGGGATAGAAGATGGCAGTGGGGGGTGGAGGGTGTGTGGGCAGGTTCAGTTTCAGAAACTAATTATGCCACTCACTAGTGGAGTGTTGCATACTCTGACTGAGTTCTCTGGTTTTCCATGTAAGCTTCAAGGATAGAGGCATGGGTCTGACAGTGTGTGACAGAAGACTGAGCTCCTTTTTTCTTCAGTTAAGAGTGGAGCATAGACACTTAGCAGTAGTGCCGTCCTCACCAAAACTTCTGGACCTGCAGACGGCAAGGTATTTCTTGTGCCTTGGCCTTCATACATGGGAGTGTGAGAAGGGAGTGTCCTTCTCTACCTTCACCTGGTAAAATCTTATTCTTCAAGCATCACCTCTATAGGAAGTTTTTATTTTTTATTATTTATTTATTTATTTATTTAGAGGAAGATTAGCCCTGAGCTAACTACTGCCAATCCTCTTCTTTTTGCTGAGGAAGACTGGCCGTGAGCTAATATTCTTGCCCTATCTTCCTCTACTTTATGCGTGGGACTCCTACCACAGCATGGCTTTTGCCAAGCGGTGCCATGTCCACACCCAGTATCCAAGCCGGTGAACCCGGGCCGCTGAGAAGTTTTTAATCCACTGCAAAGACTATCAATAATAATAATAAATAGGGGCCGGCCCCGTGGCACAGTGGTTAAGTTCGCATGTTCCGCTTCAGTGGCCCGGGGTTCACCAGTTTGGTTCCTGGGTGCAGACATGGCACCGCTTGGCAAGCCATGCTGTGGCAGGCGTCCCACATATAAAATAGAGGAAGGTGGGCACGGATGTTAGCTCAGGCCCAGTCTTCCTCAGCAAAAAGAGGAGGATTGGCAGCTGATGTTAGCTCAGGGCTAATCTTCCTCAAAAATAATAATAATAATAAATAATCAGCAATAATAAATTATTGGAATATTTGCTACAGTAGCCTACCTTACCCCAAATAATATACCCCTGTGTCAGTCTGATTTGGATTCACTTCTTTGGCTCCATAGCACCCAGTGTATATATTGATTAGTACATATCACAGTGTTTTATATTTTTGAGTTTACTCATCCATCTCCCCAATGAAACATTGAGCATCTTTAGGTCAAAGACACTGCCTTATGTGTCTTTGTAACTTAATGACTAGGATGGTGCCTGGTACATAGTAGATGCTTAGTAATCTTTGAAGCATGAATATGCACATGTTCATTGTCAAGGGTGTATGGCATAAAGAGGAATTGCCAGTGAAGGAGACATGAAAGGAGCAATCAGATCAGTGCTGTGAAAGTGGGACCCCTAAGACTGAGATTCAAGAGAGCGTCCAAAAGGACTCTGGTTAATAGAATAAAAAGGAAGAGTTCTAGAAGTCCAAAGACAAAAGAAGAGATCTTCAGGAAGAAACTGTACTGAATTAAGTAATTATATTCCTTTTTGAGATATACATGTATAATATTTAGTGACTTCTATTTTGAGTAAGAGATGGATGTTTTTATATGAAGATAAGTAAAGAATTCTGACATAAGGTTTAAATCCTCTGAGAGGCCCAGCTTAAGCAGTGAGAAGACTGCCCCTCTCTCAAGTCCTCAGAAGACCACAGGTTTTACTTTGGAAAATGAAAGTGAAGAGGCTCAAGATTTGGGGACATTAGACATTAACAGAGATCAGGGATGAGACACCACAGTGCAACAAGGAGGATTGAGGGAAATCCTATATATTGACAACTGAGACTCTTCTCATCACTCCTTCCTCTACTCTTCTTTCAGAAAGTGGCTGCCTGGTATTACATCTCTGTACCCCCTTACAGGAGGTTATATGATTCTTCTCTGGAGTCCAAAGAAAAGACCTACATATACTGACCTGGAGATCTCCCAGTGAAATAGCTGTGTTCCCACCCAATCACCAGGCAGTGGAAGCCTCCCACTAGAGAAGCCACACATACCGAGCTTCCAATTGGCTTCTAGTATTGTTAAAAAACAAGATTCAACTGAGTAAACTTTAAAGACCTTATTGGCTTTATTCAATGATTCACGAATCAGGTAGCATCCTATCTAGCAGATAGAAAAGAGCTCAGAGGAGCTCTACAAAATGAAAGACTCTTATAGGCAGGAGGGGACAGGATAAGGAAGTTTTACTAGCAAAAAGTGGATTGGTTGTGGCAAGGTCGCTTTACTTTAGAGGATGGTAGGAGTCTGTCAGGCACGTTGCCTGATTAGTGCTGAGCAGGTAATTCCAGATTGACTGATTTAAGATTCTATTCCCAGGAGAGGCCAAAAGTGTAATTAAGTATTAAGTCTCGGTTTGGTGACCTGGGGCTTAGCATAAGTGCTTCCATTTGGGGCTTGTTGTCTTGTTTTTCACAATTTCCCCTTTTTGATCAGACTCAACCCGAGAGAGGTGATAAAAATTTAAGGCATTAGTGCCACCCCCGGCTACCACTCGGAAGTTCTCACATTTTTTTCTGATCCTCGGTGTGGTATTCACAGGTCGTAACTTCAAGTTCACATTTTTTAAGTCATTCATTCTCTTCGTTCCTTTTCTGACGTTCTGGTCTTAGGGAGATCATTTGGTTGGTGGTTAGTGGCTGCAAACATGCATTTAAAGCTTTTGAGAGAAAATAGTGCCCCAGGGAGATTACTGTGATGAATATGAGCAGGATAATTCCCAATGTCTGGAGTGCACTTTGGAGCCATGGTCCCCAATACTCAAAGCAATCAAAATCAAGTAAGTCAAAGAAAGACTCCATCAAAGTAGTCACTTTCTTAAGCCAAGTGGCTTGTTCAGTTATCTTATGTAGCTGTTAATCCAGAAGTGTTAATCCTTGTGCGGCAAGTGATGTTGGCCATAGCACTGGCACCTCCTTGCTCAGCTAAAAGATAATCAAGGGCTATCCTATTATTAAGAACAACTTTAGGCAGAGAAAGTCTAGAAATTTTTGTTGGGGAGTTATTGCTTTAGCAGCAGATTCTGCAGTATCTTTAAGAGTTAAGGAGAAGTTCCTGATCATAGCCTCATTTGCACTTACTCCTAGCCAGGGGAGTAGGGAACTGCCACAGGAAGCAAGTTTACATCATGACCGGCTCTTGTTGGTCCTTTCTAACTCAACAACGTAAATTCAGGGGAGTTGACCAATGAGGTGTCTCAGTTTGATTGTGGACAGTTAGGGGCAACAGTTAGATAACCTGAGAGGCTTTGTCCAGTTATGTACCAGCTATCTAGGCATTCACAGGCCTAAGGAGAATGATAATCGCCACAAAGGTAAATCATCTCGGGGCACAAACCACTTCTGCTGAGGTGGCACTGTTAATAGATTCATTTGCAGGGATTGTAGCATTTGCCTGTTAAAGCTAGGGGTCAGTTTGTTTTCAACACATTTGGGAAGTAAATCTCCTAGCCTGAAATAAGGAGTTCTAAATTCCTTGCAAAGATGGGTGCTGCTGGTGAGATCTTTTTATGCTTGGAGGCTTGGTTATCTCTTTCATGAACAAATAAGATGAGAGGCTTTGAATAGTTAGGTAGCCCTAGGGCCCGCAGTTCGTGCAGCACTTGTTTTAGTCTTATAAAGCCCTGCTTATGTTAATCCTCCCAAGGAAAGGGCTCAAGGACTGAAATTTTAGTAAGTTCATAGAGTGGGGAAGCCAACAGAGAAAAATTAGGACTTCATAGTCTGCATTAGCTAGCCAGACCTGGGAATGCATGAAGCTGTCTTAGTTGTGAGCATAGGGAATTCTTGGATTAGTTTAATTCTTGTTGGAAGTAGATTCCTTCAGTGCTTAGATTATGACCTAGGTAATGAACAATGTCTAAATATAATTGTAATTCTTCCTTAGAGACTTTGTCCTTTTTCAGCTAACTGTTGCAGCAAATAAATGAATCCTGTATGAACGCCTGATTGGTAATTGAGCATAGCAAGAGGTCATTTACATACTGTAGAAGGTTGATTTCCTGGGAAACTGGAGCATGCTTAAATCTTGGTGCAGCACTTGGAAGAAATAAGAAGGGGCCTCAGTGAACCCTTGAGGCATGACTGTCCAGGTATATTGTTGATTGGTCCAAGTAAAGGCAAATAGATTCTGGCTGTTGGGGTCTGCAGGGATGCCGAGGAAGGCTAAAGGTAGGCCCACAACAGTGAACTATTTTGAGCATGGTGAAACTTCGATAAAAGGGTGTTGGCGTTTAGAACAACTAGGAAACCGGGAATAACTATCTTGTTAACAGCTTTCAAGTCCTGGACAAATTGCCATTCCACCCATTAGGTTTCCAGACTGGCGAGATCAGCCTGTAGCAGGTCTGCTACAGGGACTGATTAGCTCCTGGACGATTAGGTCTTCTGCTGTTGGTGTGAGGCCTCGTATGACCTTGGGCCTTAAATGGATATTGAGACAATTTGGGAAAAGGTTTAGTTATGTCTATCTAAATTTTTATAGGTTCAGCACTTTTTGTTCTTCCATTGTCAGTATTGGAGGTGCCCGTATATTTTTGGGACTTTGATTAAATTAAGGATCTTTTGCTGGAATTCTTCCTCTTCTGTATGAAGGACAGATTGTAAGGAACATAAAAGATCAGGTTCAGGTTAGTCAGGAAATTCTAACGTGAGATCTTCCTTAGAGGCCAAGTGTATTAGCCCTTTTAATTTAGAAAGACGATCTTTACCTAATAGACTGACTGGAGCTGTATCACTTAACAAAAAGAAATGTTTTTCAGAGAAAGGTCCCAGAATCATTTGAACTAGTTGAGCTAGAAACTGAATTGTATTAGATACCCTCACTGTAGAAACTTCTTTTTCACTGGAAAGGGTTCATTATCCTATGAGAGTGGAGTTTAAAGTAGAGAGAGTAGTTCTGGTATCTGCCAGAATTTGGTGAGGTTTCCAGTTAATTTTAATTTTAGTCTCCCTTTGGCTGTTTAAGGGAATTACTGGTAGCAGTTTACCAGAGAATCCCTCAGAGTCGTGTCAGCTCTGGGAGGGGTCCATTTGGGGTCCTTCCCTCTGGGGTAGAGACGGGAGCGGTAGAGTTGATATTGAAAGATTTGCATTAAACCTTTGACGACAATCTTTTTTCCAGTGTTCCAGTTTATTACAGATGACACATTGATCCCTGGGCCAGTGTTTTGATGATGGATCTGTAGGAGAGTACAATGGGGGAGCCCCAGGTGTTCTTTTAGGTTTCTGATCTTGGAGCTGTTGCAGTTGTAAGGCTTATAGCTTGGTGACTTGTTTATGGTCTTGTTCCAAAGTTCTTTCGAAGTGCTCAGCTGTGGTCATGAGTTCAGTCAGACCAGTGGCCTCTCATCCTATTTTCTGCCTTTTTATCCGTCCACTAATCTTGGAAGATAATCTGTTTACAAATAGGGCAGCTAGAGCAGGTTGTGTGACATCATGTATTGTATAGAACCCAAAATGCCGTGGGAAGGGAGCTTTCAGACAGGCTTTAAAGTCGGCCAAAGATTCATCTTTCTTTTGTTTGCATGTTTGAATAATAGACCACTCAGTGTGCTGCCAGGGAAGACTCTGGGAATAGCTTTTAAAAGATTGCTATTTTGTGAGCTTTTTCAGGTCCATAAGGGGACCATGTTGAAGATTGAGGATCTTGAACGTCATCCTCCACGTTACGCCAGTCTGCTCCATTTTTGGGGTTTACCAGGTCCTACTGGCATGTGCACAAGCTGATAAAGTTCTAGCAGCCTGGAATCATAGGCCCTGATGAGGACTCTAAATTCTTCAAAAAACGTATGGGGATCCTCCCTGGGTTTTGAAAATTCTTTAACTATGGCCCTTAGTTCCGTCTTTGAACCAGGAGGTGAAAAGGATCACCTAAAGTCTTGGATGGTCTCATTTTAAAAGGTAGCTGTTTAGTAGTCTCTTTAGAGTGGAAAGGCAATTCGGACAGAGAGTAGAATGTGAGTACTCGGGTAGAGGAGGATAGAGGGGAACAGTAGGAGTCATGTCAATCTTACTGTATTTTGATTTAGGTACCTCTTGTCTTTAATTTTTCAATAGTGTTTTGCAAGGAATAACTCAGTGAAGCTATTTTGGAATATTAAAGCCTTTTGGAAGCTTCTGCATACCAATTAAAATAGTTATCCCATTCTTTTTGTTTGATTTGGGAACCCTTGCTTTCAAGTGCACTTCTTAAATGAGTAATCTTATCTAATTGGAATGTTCCCTATACTGACCATTGTACTTCTAGGTTGTCTTTAGTAAGATTTTGCCATTTTTGTAAATATCTACCACTTCCAGGACCATAGTTATTAGACATAAAATAAGCAGATGTGCTGGAACGTGGCATGCTCAACTCTTTGAAACTTAGGGATCCCATTTCTTTTGCTAAGCCTTGGGTCTCTTGGAGCTAAATTAATACCTAAGAGGAATATGCCTCTGGGTTGGGGACTGTGTGGTGTTTTTACAGTATACTTTGTTGCATGGAAATTTTCTTGAGGTTGACAGGGAACCTGGTGTTAATCTAACCCATTCTGTGACCAATTTATCCTAACATGGGAGTGTTAGAGTTAGGTGGTGAGCGCTCTAACAGCTGTTAAATGCACGACCATGCCCCCCAATTTTGTAGCTTTTGGCTTTTGAGATTCCCATTAGCAGTAGCCTTTACCTCATGTGCATTTACCAGCAGAAATCAACGGTAACCAGGCCAAGAGAAGGCCTTGTATGCACCACCAGCAATTCCTAGCGTGGGACTGGGGGCTGGGGAAAGGACTGAACCAGCAGACCCCAACAAATGGAGACTGCAGACAGCTATTCTAATCAAATGGGGACTGCGGACTGAACCACTCTTCGTTGCCAGGGCAGAATCTGGGGACTAAACCAAGGACTCAGGATTCCAATCAAGTGGGGATCTACGGACTGAACTGAGGGCTAGGGGCCTGAGTTCCAGGTGGAACCATCTGCTAGCTCACGCCGACCTGCCTGCACTAGCAAGCCAGTTAGACTGGGAGCTTGATGCAAAGAGGGTGGAGCTCAGAACCAAGAGGAACTTACCCATGGCTCTCAGAAACCACAAGAAAGAGAACTCAAAGGGTTCACTGGTACCAGTGCCTGTGTTTCTTGCTGTCCCAGAAACCATTAGAGGTTTCCTTTGGATCTCACTACTGCCACCGATATGATACTATTAAAAAAATTCAACTGAATAAATTTTAAAGGTCTTATTGGCTTTATTCAGTGATTCACGAATTGGGCAGCATCCCATATCGCAGATAGAAGGGAGCTCTGAGGAGCTATACAAAATGAAAGACATAGACAGAGGAGCGGGACAAAGAAGTTATACTAGCAAAAGCAGCTTGGTTGTGGCAAGGTCGCTTTCCTTTAGGGAATGGCAGGGGTTTATCAGATGGATTACCTCACTAACGCTGACCAGGTAATTCCAGATTAACTGGATTAAGATTTCATTCCTGGGAGAGGCCAAAACTGTAACTAAGTCTTGGTTTGGTGATATGGGCTTAGCATAAGTGACTCCATTTTGAGCTTCTTGTCTTGTTTTTAGCACTACTTATTTGTTCAGGAGATACGCTTTTAGGGAAAGCCTTCAATATGAGAGAGACCAAAACACAAAAGTACAAAGGAGGAACTTTGACGAAATAATATTGGAAACAGAAGAAAGTTTGAAAAAAAGAAAAAACCCAAACTGTTTGTAATTACATCAAAGAGGTAAGAGACGAAATTATATCCATGAAATGAGATCAAGATGCCATAAAAAGGATCAGAAAAAGAAAGTGTTCTGGAAATTAAAAATATGATAGACACTTTTGGTGCATTTTAAAAAATTTTAAAACTATCTCAAACTTATAAAAAAGTCACAAGTATAGTACAAAGAACATTTTTTCTCTGAACCTTTTGAGAGTATGTTGCTAGCTGCATGCCCGATCACCTTTGAAACTGTGTGTTTCCTACAAACAAGGGCATTTTCCTACATAACCACAGTACAAGCCATCAAAATCAGGGAATTAAAATTGACGCATTACCACAATCTAGTGCTCAGACCTTATTTAGGTTTTGCCAATTGTACAAATAATGTCCTTTATACCAAAAGCATCTAGTTTAGAATCCCATGTTGCATTTAGTTGTCATGTCTCTTTAGTCTCCTTCCATCTTGAGCAGTTCTGTAGTCTTCGACTTTCTTGACCTTGACACTTTTGAAGATTTCAGACCAGTTATTTTGTAGAATGTTCCTCAATTTTGGTTTATCTGAAGTTTCCTCATGACTAGATTCAGGTTATGCATTTTTAGTGAGAATATCACAAAAGTGGTGGTAGGTTTTTGTTTTTTTTTTAAATACAGTCACACACTGCATAATGACATTTTGGTCAACAATGGACCACATACATGACAGTGGTCCCATAAGATTATAATGGAGCTGAAAAATTCCTATTGCCTAGTGTGTTGTAGCTGTTGTAACGTTGTAGCACAATGTGTTACCACATGTTTGTAGTGATGCTGATGTAAATAAACCTACTATGCTGTTAGTCGTGTAAAAGTATAGCACATAAAATTATGTACAGTACATAATATTTGATAATAAATGACTCTTTTACTGGTTTATGTATTTTATATACTATTTATCATTATTTTAGAGTGTTACTCTTCTACTTATTAAAAAAAAGTTTATTGTAAAACAGTATGCCATGTTTATGCCGGCAGCAGCCTCATACATCTCGTGTTTACTGTATCTCTTGATTGCATTGTTTTCTCTTGTGTTTGATTTAATCTTGTGTTGTTTTGTTCATCATGGCACCTAAGTGTACAAAATCCACTGTTAATGCTGCCAGAAAGAGGCCGTGTTGACTGATTGACCTGGAAACGAAACTAAAAGTGATTGAGGAATATGAAGGTGGGAAATCACTGATAGTTATTGCTCACCAGTCAGGCGTGTCCCATTCCACCATAGCTATGATTTTGAAGAAGAAGAACAAAGTGATGGAAGCTGTTAAAGGATCTGCTTCATTGAAGGCAACGAGACCAACACAAATTTGAGAAGGGCCTATGTCAGACATGGAGAAACTTCTAATGACCTGGATTGAAGACCAGACACAGAAATGTATACCTCTCAGCACCAAGACAATCACGGGCAAAGCAAAAAGTTTGTTTGCGATGTCAAAAGAAAAGTCTGGACTCAACTATGATGTTGAATTTACTGCTAGCTCTGGGTGATTTAAATGATTCAAGAATCATTATTCATTACATAATATGGAAGTGAGTGTGAGTCTGTGAGTGCTGATGTGAAGACAGCTGAAGAATTTTTGGAAACTTGAGATAAGCTGATTGTGGAGGAAAGTTACTTGCCAGAGCAAATATTTATTATGGATGAAACCTCTTTATTCTGGAAACAGATGCCTGAAAGGACTTTCATTCGTACGGTGGCCAGGTCAATGCCAGGTTTCAAGGCTTTTAAGGAGAGGATAACTGTCTTGCTTGGTAGCAGTGTTGCAGGTCACAAATTGAAGCACAGTGAGAAACCCAGGACCTTCAAGCATGTCAATAAACACACACTACTTGTATACCACAGGAGCAATACGAAGTCTTGGATGACCCAGCTCCTCTTCCAAGATGCCCTCCTGAATTGCTGTGCCAGCTAAATGGAGAAGTACTGTTTGAAGAATAACATACCTTTCAAGATTTTGCTTATTGTTAATAATGCTCGCAGACATCCTCCTTTTGTTGTTGATTTTCATCCCAATATCACAGCAGTGTTTCTCCCTCCCATTGGTTGGATCAAGCAGTTATAGCAGCTTTTAAGGCCTACTACCTGAGGAGGGCCTTTGCTCACACTGTTGCTGCAACTGAGGAAGACACCGAGAAGACGCTGTTGCAGTTCTGGAAGGATTACAACGTCTATGACTGCATCAAGAACCTTTCTTGGGCTTGGGGTGATATCACCAAGGAGTGTATGAATGGCACCTGGAAGAAGACACTCAAGAGGTTCATCCATGATTTCAAAAGATTTGCCAGGGATGAGGAAGATGCAAAAATCAACAAGACTATGGTTGAGATGGTCTACAGCTTTAACCTGGATGTTGATGAGGATGAAACTGAGGAACTCTTAGAGATGGTTCCTGAGGAACTGACTAATGAAGAGTTGTTGGAACTGGAACAGGAATGCCTAGCTGAAGAAGAGTCAAGAGAAAAGGAAACTGCAAGAGAAGTTTGGAAACATGGACCCTAACACCGAAAGGTTTTCATTAGTAAAGAGGAGTGTTCACGATGCATTATATGTTTACAAGCAAATCTGTGAAGAAAAGAAACAAACGAAGCAAACCACCATGGACGTATTTCTGAAAAGAGTGACACTTCCTCAAAAGAGCCTTAGGCAGGTCCTTCAGGAGATATTCCGGAAAAAAGGCATTGTTATATAATAGGAGATGACAGCTCCATGCATGTTATTGCCCCTGAAGACCTTGCAGTGGGACAAGATATGGAGGTGGAAGACAGTGATATTGATGATCCTGACCCTGTGTAGGCCTAGGCTAATACATATGTATGTTTATTTTTTCCACAGGAGAAGACTCACCCTAGGCCAATATTTGTTGCCAATCTTCCTCCTTTTTCTTCCTTGCCCTCCCCCAAAACCCCAGTACATCGTTGTGTATAGTTGTAAATTCTTCTAGTTCTTGTATGCAAGCTGCCGCCACAGCATGGCCACTGACAGATGACTGATGTGGTTCCACAACTGTGAACTGAACCCCAGGCTGCTGAAGCAGAGCAGGCTGAACTTTAACTGCTAGGCCATTAGGGCTGGCTCTGTGTCTTAGTTTTCTTTTGCTTTTTGTTTTTGGTGAGGAAGATTGGCCCTGAGCTAACATCTGTTGCCAATCTTCCTCTTTTTTTTTGCTTGAGGAAGATTGACCCTGAGCTAACATCTGTGCCATTCTTCCTCTGTTTTGTATGTGGGACGCCACCATGGCATGGCTTGATGAGCCGTGGGTAGGTCTGCACCCAGGATCCAAACCCACGAACCCTGGGCTGCCAAAGTGGAGCATGTGAACTTAACCACTATGCCATTGGGCCACTCACTTAGTTTTTAACAAAAAAGTTTAAAGAGTAAAAACAATAAAAAAAATTTAAATAGCTAATGAATAAGGATATAAAGAAAGAAAATTTTTGAACAGCTGTGTAATGTGTTTGTGTTTTAAGCTGTGTTAGTAGAGAAGAGTCAAAAAGTTAAAAATTAAAAAGTTTATAAAGTAAAAAAGTTACAGTAAGCTAAGCTTAATTTCTTATTGGAGAAAGAAAATTTTTTTATAAATTTGGTGTAGCCTAAGTGTACGGTGCTTATAAAGTCTACTGTACAGTAATGTTCTAGGCCTTCACATTCGCTCGCCGAGAGCAACTTCCGTTCCTGCAGGCTCCATTGATGGTAAGTTCCCTACACAGGTGTACCATTTTTATCTTTGATACAGTATTTTTACTGTACCTTTTCTATGTTTAGATATGCAAATACTTAGAATTTCCTACAATATTCAGTACAGTAACATGCTGTACAGGTTTGTAGCCTAGGAGCGATGGGCTGTACTATATAACCTAGATGTAGAGTAGGCTTTACCATCTAGGTTTGTGTAAGTACTCTCTATGATGTTCACACAGTGACGAAATTGCCTAATGACACATTTCTCAGGACACAACCCTATTGTTAAGTGATGCATGACTTTAATAAATTTTATTTTTTTAGAGTAGTTTTAGGTTCATGGAAAAATTGAGCAGAAAGTACAAGAGGTTCGCACATCTCCTTGTCCCCACCACACACAGAACCTCCTCCAGTATCACTATTGCTGTGGCTTTTCATTGCAACCCGTCAGGGAGCATGGATTTCTGTTTGTTCCATTACTGATGATTGCTTTGATCGCTTTTGTAAGGTGGTGCCTGCCAGACTTTGCCTCTGAAGTTACTCTTTTTTCTTTGATAATTAGTTAATATTTTTGTGGAGAGGAACTTTGAAACTGTGTGAAGATCTCATTCCTCATCACACTTGGGATTCATTCATTCATATTGTAAGGGCTCATGATTTTCTTTTTTATTCAGTGGGTTGTACTCCATTGCTATCATTTGTGTTTGTGCTCAAATTGTATCTGATTTGGCCTGTGGGAGCTCCTTCAAGCTGGTGTCTGTGTCTTTTTGACACATCCACTCATTCTTGCAGTACTTCCTTGCTTTCCAGTACACAAGATATTCAAGACTCTTCCTTTTTTTAAAAATTGAAATATAATTCATATGCATAAAATTCACCCTTTTAAAGTATATAGTTCACTGGCTTACAGAGTTGACGATCATCACCGCCACCTGATTCCAGAACATTTCATCACACCAAAGAGAAATCTTGTATCCATTAGTAGTCATTCCCCGTTTCCCTCCAATTCCCCCCAGCCTCTGGCAACCACTAATCTACTTTCTGTTTCTATGGATTTGCCTATTCTGGACATTTCATCTAAATAGAGTCATATAATATGTGGCTTTTGTGTCTACTACTTTCAGTTACCATAATATTTCCAGGAATAATCCATGTTGTAGCAAATAGCAGTACTTCATCCACTTTTGTCATATAATATTCTGTTTTATCAGTATACCGTAGTACATTTTATTTATTCATCAATTGATAGATACTTAGATTGTTTCCACCTTTTGGCTTTATGAATAATGCTGCTAGGAGCATTCACGGA